TCACTCACTCACTCACTCACCCATTGACCCGCCCATAACATACCCGACGCGCCGACTAAGAGGTATTTTTTTTACAAAAAAATAACTCAATAATTAGTGCGTAAAAGGATTTTTTAAGATATCCGGAACTGAATCAAATCCACCTTGATTATTATCCTGGTTATCAAGAGAAACCAAATTTTAGTCGATAGAGCGCTTTTCACTTGATTGACGTAAGTACTTCGCTTTTGTATTGTTTTCACTTTACTACGCTTTGTGATTGGTTTAAAATTCTCGCGCCACTTTCTCACCCAATCAGAAGTAAAACCAAACCAATCGCCTCACTCGCCTCGTACACGTTTTCCCGCGCTTTGTGTCGGCCTCGTGTATTTGGTTCAAGTTTTCATTGGTTCTCTGGATTGTCTGTGTTATTTGTGATTGGCCAGAGGGATTTTTTTTTTCCAACACTCAATTGAAGGCCGCTCGAAAATATTTTGTCTGATTTACATGTTAATTGTCGAATGACAAGATTGAAAAAAATGTGTTAGCCCTTTCAATGCTTTCATCATCCTACTCTATAGGGGTTTTGCACGGCAGCCATGTTGCATGGTAGAAACAATAGATTTTTTTTCCTGTGGGGAAAAAAATGTTCTTTCTAATGGAAAACATCTTTGTTCTTGCCATGCAACATGGCTGCCATGCAAAACCTCTATTTAGAACTTTTGTTCGACTTTTTTTTACAAAAGCGTATACAGTAAAACCTCGTTACAACGAAGGGCCAGAGGACTGGCAAAATATGTTAGCTATAGCGAGATTTTGGTATTTTACGATAGGGAAACTTCACGCCGTTCTCCGCGGCCATTGATAGGCGATCCTTTTTTTGACTTTGACAAGTTCTACAAACCTCGTATTTTTTTGTAAAGGCATTTTTCTCTTCTCCGCCACGGCTGCATAATGTTGACAAAGGAGGCATTTTGTCATTTTTCTAACTTTAGAAGGTGAGCATTAAAATAATATCGAAAAAATCTAACTATCTATATTTGGAGTGTTCCAAGCTGTTATCACTTAAACTTACTTTCNCCCCCCCCCCCAATATTTTCATTGTTGATTACAGTAGAACCTCGATTTAACAAAACTTTAGAATAACTCCACGATACTCTTCCCCAGTAAGAGTAAAATTTATGGAAAAGAACCCCAATATCAGTGGAACCATGTGAAGACATAACAGAATCAAACACAAAAGGGGCGGGATGTTCAAAGTCCGATTAAGCTAACCCCAGGATTAACGAGAACTGTGATTTCAGTTTTGCAACTTTTCAGTGAGGTTTTCGGTTTACATTGGTTACCTTCAGTCTTGAGCGGGAGTAATCTCAAACTACACAAAACACATTTTTATACAGGAAAAACTAAAACTTCGCTTAACTTTTCATCCTGGGTTAGGGTTAACCGAATTCCGAACAACCCGGCCCACGTTAGTAAGAACATACTACGGTGAATTTCCATGAAAAAAATTGACTATAAGGCTTGCGGCAAGCAGCCCTATTTGAGTAGGTTGCGTCCTGAGGGTGCAGCGAAGCCCTATACAAGAGATCCTTCTCATATGCTACCGATTGCATCAAGGAGGATTAATATTGCCTCCTCTGCGAGAAAATAGACTTCTACGACTTACTTCACACCAAGCTTCCAAATTCCTATAACCATGAAAAACACTTTACAATCAAGCTCACATAACCACAGCTATTTAAAAATTTTAATAGCAAATTCTACGATCGTGTAACCTTACTTCAGCTACAAAGCCAACCACACACACAGAAAACAAAGCAATGAATCAGTTCTAGAATGTTGATCGTGTTCCTTGAGAGTCACTTCAAGTGAACGCCTTTCTCATATCATAATAATAATAGCTACAATGGTTCAAAATATAATTTTAACACAAATATGGCGTTTTAAAACAATGACACGTTTCAATTAAATTATAATTTAAGTTAATTGCAAATATCTCGCTTTGAAGAGGTAACAAAATTTACCTTACATTTCCATACACAGTACTTGACATACTAACACCTATACAATAAGGTACATCGATCAATCATTGAAACCACGTGATCAAGCATCACGTGACCTTTTACATAATAAAGTTGTGGGATACACTGTGTATTCAATAATGTGTTACCAAGTGTCCACGTGACGTTTTACATGGCCTGAATACAAAGATAAATTACCAAACGGCCGTGTTCCAAAAAGTAACTTAGGTTCACTTGGACTCCAAACCCTTACGTTTCAAAATTTAATCGACATCACATTTCTCCCAACAGAACGATAGTAAATCAAGAGTACAGGTGGTGACAAGGTCAAAACTACAGTAACCACCAGACGAAAATCTGGCTAGTCTAAAGCGAAATCTCGCTACCATCACGAGATGAGATGACAGAAACAATGCATATTAAAAGTGCAAGGAGAATTTTAGTGTCGATTTATGGGTTTAAAAAGGAAATTTAGAACCGACTGGTCATCAAGGTTAATCTACCAGTCTCAATTAGGTAAGGAAAGTAAATCACAGCTTATTACACATGCCAAATAATGATAATAATTGCTCATAATTCTCTGCAACAAATGTAAGATACGCCGTACACCGTTCCTTGGACTAAAAACACATGATAACAAGAACATCACATCAAGAACTATACATCACTTCACATAATTCTGTGCATTTCTCCACAAATACAGTCCTATTATGCAGTTTTGTAGTACTTTAGAAGTACCTGAAAAGTACATCAGTACTTTCAAGCAAGTTTCTACCTGGCATACAGACAGGCCTGTTCATGGAGAGTTCATTCAAGACTGTCCAAGTCCATCCATTTTCCTATTCACAAAGAAAGTGCTTACAATTACCAAACCACAATGATGTTAGTTACGTACCACTGACATGTACTAAAGAGGCTAGATCACCAGATTTTAGGCAATTTCTGCACTTACTAACTGCTCATAGAATTAACTGAAATATCACAATAACAACTGTAACACAAAAAAGCCAAAAACGGGGAATGGATAGGCCAAAATTGGAGATCATTAAAATGGGTTGGAATTAGGGTAAACTTGCGAAACATCAGCGCAATTTTGTTCAATCAAGTTTGTGACAATTTGCTGAGGTAAACATGTCATTTATACTGCTTTTATCAATTAAAGACTACTGCTCTGTCAATTTGAAGTTTAGAGTTCATAGGGAACAAAAACAAACAGAATTACCTAAACTACCCTGACCTAGCCCCTTTAAGGAAACGAACCAAAAAAAGAATGAAGGCCAGGACTTCATAATTATCCCTGAGTAAGGGTTCGACGCAACACATCAATACTGTGTGCTGCAACATGCTGCATGTCTTGGACAACATATATGTTTGATATCTCGGTTATCATCTTACTTCATCTGTACCATTCTCAACCTCAAACCTCTCAGTCTCGTACCGAGAGTCCTTGTCAACTCAGTTCAATAGGCAGTATCTGACCATAATGTGAAGAAACAACTGCCACATGCAGAGGCAAGTCTCGATAATCCTGTCACTCTCAAGTAAGTTGCATAAATTTGGGAAAAGGTAACTATGTTTGTCAGAAAGTTATTACAGACTGCAAGTTTCGCTACTGTAGATAACTTGCTTTGGGTAGCAACTGAAGCAGCTGATAAAATGTAAGGTTTTAACTTTTTTTAATTAAATGTTTGCGTGTGTTGTGTCCAACCAACCTTCTTGGATTATTACCATTTCCCTTTCAGGTGTAATTTGAAAATGACCAAATGCTGCAACATAATAATCATTTTTTATACCTAAACAGTGTTCCTTAGTCAACTAAAAAGCCACAATTCTTTCTACAGTAAATCTTATACCTGAAATAAATGTACTTATTAAAGTATGCAGCATTGTCTCTTCACACTACAGTCAGAACGCACACCTTGCAGAAGCAAGGACTGTGGCTTTCAAGCCAGCAAGCTGCCTTAAATAGAATTAATCCTAAAGTTTTCTTAAAATATCGGAGAACCCTGATATTGCCTAAAGGTAGTTCTTTTTATGATCATAATTGGAACATCGATTTTGTAGTAGATCCTGTCTTGCTCATGGTATCTTCATGTGCCTGTAAAATACAAACACAGAATTCCTCACTGTAGTTCAATGTCACAAATGCCTTCCATCATGCATATGTATAGATGGCTATTTTTACTCTAACTTACATGTATTAATGTACATGTGGTATTATTAAGAATACCTTATTTTATTAGGTTATTCCTAAACAACATCAACCAAAACAAAGCAAGTAGACGTCTGGAAAAAATGTTCTGAATAATGTGATTGGCCAACACACCTGGTAACCTATAACAAGCTTTGGAGGAAGATTGAGACGCTCCTTGAATTTGCGTCTGCAAAAGTAAAAAGTCCAATTAGTGCATGCCAAGTAAATTAAGAATTCAAAACACAGAAGTGCTGTAAAAGATGAAATTATTATTAAATTTCAATTTTGAATTAACTAATCAAGGCATTAAGTTTTTCCTTTTGTTTTTGTTGTTGTTCCTTTTGGAGGTGGGAGGGGGGGGGGCGGGGGTAATAAGAATGACTTTTGCAGTA